CTTTACAAATGTTACACGATGATCCTAATTTTTTTAGGTATGTGCTTTTCTCAGATGAGGCTAAATTTTATAGTGACGGACAACTTAATAGACACAATTGCCATTATTGGTCAGATGTTAATCCCCACTGGTATAGGCCAATAGATCATCAAAATCGATGGAGTATTATGGTGTGGTGCGGAATTGTAAATGGTTATTTGATTGGGCCTTATTTTTTTGAAGAGAACGTTGATAGACACAGTTACTTATCGTTGCTAAGAGATCACTTACCAGGCTTATTAGAAGATGTTGACTTAGCAACAAGAGCAAGAATGTGGCTTCAACAAGATGGTGCTGCACCGCATTATGCACTCATTGTACGTACCTTTTTAAATGCCAGTTACAATGACAGATGGATTGGACGAAGGGGTCCAGTTGAATGGCCTCCTTGCTCACCAGATCTGACGTCGCCTGATTTCTTTTTATGGGGATACTTGAAAAATGTTGTTTTTGCTGAACGACCAACCACAAGAGATGATTTTATGGACCGCATTCGTAGAGCTTGTGCAGCCATTCCTAGAGCTACCCTGCTTAGAACTGTGGATAGTTTTCAAAACAGATTGCAGTTATGCCTCGAAGCCAACGGAGGTAATTTTGAACAATTACTCCGTGGGTAATTCATTTAAATTACAGTGTCAGTGAGAGGCAAGGGGACTCACGATAATCAAGCACCCCGACGTGAGAGGCAAGGGGACTCACGATAATCAAGCACCCCGACGTGAGAGGCAAGGGGACTCACGATAATCAAGCACCCCAACGTGAGAGGCAAGGGGACTCACGATAATCAAGCACCCTAAAGGAAAATTGACCTCAAGGTCAAGCTAGTTAAAGTGATTTACACTTTTACAATTCATTGACTTTGTTTAAGCATTATGCACATTTGTGTTACCCAGAAAACCACGTCATTTCAGAAAAAGTACACCAGATCGTTTTTCAGACATTTCACCTTCATTTTTGACCTTTCCAAGGTCGCAAAAACAATTTTTTCATAAGACAAGTTTGATGTAAAATTTTCCGCTCTTTCGAAATCCGCAGTCAAAACTAGGGAGTCCTATTAGAAAAAACCATCGTGACCTTGAAATAACCTTCAAAATTGACCTCAAGATCAAAACCAATGGTACAATTGAATGACCCCCTCTGTCCTGGTCAACTTTTATCTAAACCATTTTTTTGTAGATACCGTAATTTGGAGGATATTCGGATCCATAGACTAAAATGACTCACCCTGTATATAAGAGAGTGGAAAAATTATGAAAATCTATATTCAAAATATTATTAAAATATAGAAATATCTAAATATCTAAATATTTCCCGTAATATTTATTGTAAACAAAAAATTAATATTTTGTAAATATTTCTATAAATATTGCACATGAAAAAAATAAATATAATTATTTATAATTATTAAATTAATAAAGAAATAAGAAAATCGAAATTTAAATTGGTAATGTACATTAGAAAAAAATTTTTTAAGGGGAGGTTCTCATTACGACCGACCAAAAAATCGATTTTTTGTTTTTGGCATTTTTTGTAGTAAATTATGTGTAGAATATATTCCCAAAACCGTTTGGTCGAATATATTTTTTTTTTAAAGTTATGGAATAAAAACGAACTACCTTTTGACTCGAAAATTGAAATCGAGCGGTAGTTCGAACGGAGCGTATCTTACATAAATATTTTTGAATTGGGCGCCCATATATCCATACTATGGTAAGCAGAGGTACCATATGGGCCACCAGGTATCGACACATGGGCCATGACTCCGAAAAATTCGAAAGTGTGTTTCTATATACAGTATAAGTAATGCTAACGGCTGTAGCGTCGGCAGTTAGTTTACCACGTGTTGCGAGTGAAATCAGTTGTTTAGTTGAGCGTTAGCATTCGTGCAGATAACGTGCAAGACGCAATCAAACCAATATTCGAGGCTTTGTCGTCGAATGATTTGATGGAACGTTGCACTGGCGGCAACACACAAAACTCCAACGAGTCCGAGAACGCTTGCGTCTGGAAGCTTGCTCCGAAACACCTTCACTGCGGTGCCAAGACCATCGAAATTGCAAGTTATACGACTATTAGTTTATTTAATGAAGGCTATGTAACATTATTAAAAATTATGGACATCTTGGGAATCGCCGTTGGGCTTGAAGCCAATAACTTTGCCCGCCTAGCTGATGCGAAACGCGTTACTGCAGCTGAGAGCAGCATGTCAGACGGCGCAAGAACAGCCGCACTTTCGAGAAAATCCGACCAAGCAAGTCTGCAGGAGCAATATGAACTTGAGGAAGGACTGATGTATGGCCCTGGAATCGCTGATTAACCATAAGGTATATTATTTTAACGTTAACACAGATTAATTGTTAATCAAATCTTTAATCGCGTCTCCTGAAAAATCGTGTTTTTCGAACTGTTGTCCACGATTACTCAAAAACTACTTGACGGATCGCCTTTTTTTTTTGTTTTAAAGTAGATTTGATTTATTGGAGTCCCTACTACAATCAAGACGATATATGTATTACTTTTTTTTTTACAGTAGTTTAAAGAGCGAAAAAAAGCGAAAAAACGGAAAAAAAATTCAAATGCCCGCCATTTTTTTAATTTTTGATTTTTATCGATAATTCTAGTAGGGGCTCCAACTACACTCATATATTTTATAAAAATTTATTGATTATTAATTTTCGATAATTTTTGTAGGCGCTAGAGTGGACAACAGCGGACCACCTTTTTTTGAGACGGTCACTTTACGGGGCGTGCCAACAAATACCGTCACATTATTTTTTAATAAAAAAAAAGTTTTTTCGTACCTTTTATTGTATTAAACAAATGGCAAAAAGTTCAAGTTGATTATTCATTTCCTTCCATGAAAAAAAAATTCAAGAAAAAACCGTTGTTTTTGAGCTTTCTAATGAGAACCTCCCCTTAAATGAAAGAAATATATTTTGTTACATATAATTTCTTAACTTAAAAAAATATTTGTTAAATTTTAAAAAATATATAATAAATATAAAGAAATATTTTTTTAAATTTGTAAAATAAGCTGTAAAATCATGAATTTATAAATAAAAAAAATGATTTCTTTGATTTAAAATATTTATATATATAAGAATAAACAAATGATTTCTTTACAAGAAGAAAATTAGTGTTTTTAAATGTAAAAACTGTTTAAATAAATATTTGCTTGTTTTAAAAGTAAATAAAATACAAGTAAATCATTTTATAAATCTGAATAAATTATTTTCTAATATTAAAAGTACTTTTTTATGTTTCAAATTAAAGTTTCTTTTATTATCAGAAAAAAATTATTTAAATTTACGAAATAATTTATTTTATTTACTTTTAAAACATGTAAATATTTTTTAAATAAGCTTTTTACATACTTTTTAAAACATATATTTTAAAAGATTCTATTCTCTTCTTTTAAATAAATCATATGCTTTCGTATATGGATATACCATATGTACACAATATAAAGCGTCTCTCAATCAAAGTGACAGTGACGCAGTAGGTAAGGTGAACGATACAAGAATCAGCCCAAGTAACAGACTCACGTCAAAATGACGTTAAAAATTGGTCATAACTGGTCGAATAACATCAAGTGACTAAATAACGACGTCTTTAAAACGTCTTTTTTGTGACATCTTAATGACGTTTCTGTATAACGTCTTAAAAACGTATTATTGACGTTTAGAGACGTCATAAAACGTCATTAAGTCGTCTAAAATGTCGTCATCGATCTGTGACATTAGACTATCATTTTGACGATATTCTCACGATATTTTTGATCATTCCTTGGTTATTTTTTATCCTGAACTTACTTAGATTTGGATGTCATTTTGACGTGTCTGCTACCTGGGAGAGGTCTCAGGCTCGAATCTCAGCAATGCCCATACAGCACAGAAGCTTGCAGCAACATTGCTACAACGTTGCAAGATTGCATATTGCAGTGCAATGTTGCAGAGACTTTGCAGTGGCATTAATTTGCAATATTACTTTAGCAATATTGCAGTAATATTAAAAAAAATATTACGTATATAATATGTTTTATTTATTTACTAGTTATTTTTGTTACTTGTATTTCAAATTCAGTAATGTTTTACATCAATAATACTTATAGAATAGTACTTAGAATAGCACTCGTTAGTGGCAATCATTAATTTGTCTTATTGCATATTTTTTATACTTCTTATACCGTTTTTTCGGAGAAAATGCTAGTAGTATATGTACAGCTTCCGTGAGACAGGGCGTGGCCTATTTTTCGGTGGTGGGGGTAAAAGCTGGCGCCAGTGTGTCAGGGGTGGGGGAAGGGGTTCCAAGGGGCTAGATTAGGGTGAGTCGAGAGTGGGGGAGGGTCCCAAAATGGAATGGTGGGGGAATTTTGTAAGTATGGTGGAGGAGGGTAAAATGTGGAATAAAAATTATTAATATTGGGAGTGGGGGCGGCCGATGTGTCGCCCTCGCTATAAATCGGGTGGGATTATTCAGGATGATTTATGTATATTATTTTATTTCTTTTTATTGCATCGTTTCTTACGACTTCGTCTCTTACGGCATGAGCGTTGTCTGGAAGTTCCGAGTCTCGTCTGATGAGTGAGTCGAGAAGGAGTAGGTGACGATGGAAGAGCTAGGGGTAGGGGGTAGTCGTCGGTTGCAGGTGTTTAAGGGCGAGGGTAATTTATGCTATTGGTTCGTTTGCTGGTCAGCTATGGATATTCACGGGGATTGGTTTTAACCTGAGGGTTTCCCCCGCCTCGTCGCCTACGTCGAGCATATGTGAATGCTAAGTATGACCTGGAAAATTTAGGCGAAAAAGGCCTTACTGAACGTTAGGCG